TTGTTACAGACCAGATAATGCTTTTTTCCAAGTGGTTGGCTTGTTCTAAGATTTTACAATGTGCATATAAATTGTATCAAACTAAAAATTCAAGGTTTAATCTGAATGAAAATTTTAGCACATGGTAGAAGAAATATGATAAAAGCAATGGATCAGGAGCACCTTGATGCAGTTACACCTGCTAATAGCCCTCAAAATGCACCCATGGAATGAAGTTGTCTCAAAACAAAATTCTTGCACAAGAATAAGAATCATTCTGAGAAACCTGGGCAAGCATTAATAAAATAATTTAGGTAAAACTTGATGGAATCATCTGTACTGTTGAGCAGTGAACTCCTTTTTTCTTCGTCTAGACGGATACTTCGTACTCAGTAAATAATCTAAGGAAACCAGCAGCATCATACAAATTCGCAAAACGAAGCAAGTTCACTGAGGATGCTATAAATTATGAACAAAAACTTTATCAAACAGGTAAAAGAATGACAAAAAGAAGGGAACAAAAACACCTTGATGTTGCTGCACCTGATGATAGTCCTCAAAATTGGCCTATGAAATAAAGTCCTGTGTTGAACCGAAATCACAACACAAGAATAAAATTTGTATTGTGTATCGTCCTTTGCGTCACGCAGACCATGGCGCACAGCCTGCTCCACCGTCGGGCTCAGGAACTGCCACTCCCGCCACTCTAGCAAATGGAGAAGATCGATGAACACCAACAAATAGGTAAAATGATTCTAAAATATGTATTGCCATAGCAAATGTTTAAGTATAACATCTATGCTGGTCAATATGGGACGAAAGTAAATGTGAGGCTGCAGCATGGTTGCCTTACAAAATAAAACCTTTTTTTAGAATGAGCTCGAAGAAATTAGGTCTTATCTGGAACCTCAACAAAGAGCACTCGCCTCTCAAACTGGAACAAATTCACACAAAAAACTACATACATGTCTACAGGAGAACATTCAGGCACAAAATTGAAAGGACGAAAGCCATGTCATCTGCTGTAGTAAGCATTGACCTATCCAATATTTCTTAACTTATTTAATACATTAGTCTGAAAAGTGAAAATCTAATACTAAGGAACATACATGAATAAATTAAAATGGTTTGTACAGGGCTCGGTATTGACCAATGCGGCACTTGGGGAACATTGTGAGTGATTGAAAGGAGGTGGCTTTCTGAAAACAGATTTGCATCACTTGTACCAGAGAATGTAGGAAAAATCTCAAAAATTGGTAATCGCACCAAGAATGGGGGCTCCATACCAAAACATTCAAAAAAAAAAGAAGGCCAAGAGACATGGAGGAGATGGGAGGTTACCTCGTCGGCCACGCAGATGGCCGGGAGGGACAACAACTTGCTAGTCGCCATGGCTTCATCATTTTGGCGAAAGGCCCACACTGGAGAAGGGCACCGCCACCGGGGTTGGGTCAAGCCGGGCCACCTCCACACTGGAGAAGGGCACCGCCACGGGGCTGGTCAAGGCGGGCCACCGCGACCCCTAGCACAGTTGCTAGGTTCTGTGCACCTGCAACACATGAACACACACGGAAGAGAGAGAGGGAGGCGGGCAGGGGGCAAGCGACAGCCGGCGGACACCGGCAAGGGGCCGGTCGTGAGGGGAAAGGAGGAGGAGGAGGGCGCCCGCAGCCACCGCGCCCGCTTTGTGCCGGCCGTCGTTGGCTGTGCTGTGTCGGGATGGAGAGGAGAGGGAGAGACCGATGGGAAGAGGAGAGGGAGGCCCGGTGCGCGTGTGGTCGGGCCGCGCCGTCTGGCCGTCCCTGCCATAGCGCCATGGAGGTCCGCCGCCGCCGGGGCGCGTCGCTCATCTGGCCGTCGCCCGTGTCGGGAGAGATCGAGAGAGGATGGGGAGAGGTGCGTGTTTTTTTCTTGAGCGTAGTCTGTGTCTATTATTGGTTTCACTGGATTGAGAGCAAAAGCCGGAGGAGGCGAAAAGAGGCGATGGAGAAGCTGGTTAAGCGCCACGAGAAGCGAGGAGAAGCCGCTATCGGCGAAAGCTGGTCCATGCAATCCGGTCCGTAGAATCAAAGATCGGACGGACGAAAAAATTAGGAGCGACGTGGACACGCTGGCGTCGCGAGCTGGCCACAACGAATCATATCTCTAGATGTGTAGTCGTGTAGATTCTAGAGTACGAGGCCTACATGTTTCTCGTCTAGATGTACGTCACTTGCATATCGGCTCTTGCTTGCATGTTTGTTTCTTGTACATGCGCAGAAAATCATCAACGCCTTGTCACCAGGATTCAATCTACATATATGATAACCCGTTATTATCTTCGGCGTTGTACTGTCCATTGCTCATAAAACTATATACCGAAACAATTTTGACTGCGAACAAGTGTAACAAATAAAAAAAACAAAAAATTAATTGGAGCATATTTACAATTTCCTCTTAATAATGAAGCCTCAAAGGAGGTGATCCAATTAGGTCTAGGCCATGTTAAATTGTTTAGTACTCAATCCATCATAAATTGTAAGACGTTTGACTTTTTTGACATCAAGTTTGACCACTCGTCTTATTCAAAAATTTGTGTAAAATATCACTTCTTTCGTCGTGGTTTGGTTTATTAATAAAAATTCTTCAAGAATGACTTAAATTTGACTATATTTACATAATTTTTTTGAATAAAACGAGTGGTCAAACTTGGGGCAAAAAAAATCAAACGTCTTACAATTTGAGATGGAGCTAGTATTTGTTAAAAATATTTAATTATTTATTAGAGCTGGACATACATATTCTTTTTTATCCTGTTGCAACGTACGGATAAATCTGCTAGTAATAATAATAGGAGCTAGAACCAAACAAAGTCGTGGCAACAACCCATAATTTAGGTATGGCAAAGATATTTTTGGAAGCGTGGACTGGCTGATGTCACGTAATTTGTCTTTTAGCTTGGTTCGTTTCTAGTCCGGCAACGGGTACTGTGGGCCTCATGAAAAACATTCGTACAATACTCTTTCCAACTTCCATGGACCGACCGTCTCGCGACCTCGCGCAATGGACCGACCGTGGCAGCCCACAACATAATCGTACAAGGAAGGAAGGCGGAGCAAGGCCCACCTCTCGCGACTCCGCAGGATCGCGGGCCGGCCTCCCGGGCGCAAGGCCGGCCGATAGAGGGGGTTTCGCCCCGCCGCGGCGCTCAAACTGGCTCAAGGCCCGAGACGGGGAGAGAGAATCTGCTGGCGCGCGCGTGGAATGCCTCACGCTGGCGGCCGGCCCGCCGCGAGGATGCTACGACTACAGCGACAGCGGGAGCTCCCAGGGCCCCAGCAGCGCCATGCGCCCACCAAACAAAATCCGCCCACGACCACCTTGCGGGCCTGCACGACCTCCGTGCGCCATGCCGCCATGTGGCAAGTGCTATGCTACTCCAACGAAACCAACCCCCCGGGGCCCACCCTGGCCACCAGATCTTCTGGAACTGCGGGAGCCATGTCCTCTTCGTTCCAGCCTCTCCTCTGAAGCGTGCACCACAATTCACATCTTCGGTACAGGGTGTGTGTATCTGAAATTGGCCAACCAGGCAATAATGCAAGTGAGCGTGACAAGGGCTGAAGACATCCAAGTTAGCCAACATATTGGTGGTAGTGTGGTAGTACTGTTGTGCTGCTGATCGTGGCGCGTATTTGGCTGCGCTTCAACAGTTCAATACAACAGAGCTAGCTATAGGCTATAGCCGTAGACAACCACCGTTTGGTATATACTACAAACACCGTACACAGACACATGATCCATGTTCCAATGTTGCTGTCCTCGGATCCTGCACACTCCCTGTTCGCTTGCTTATCAGCTCTACTTCTTCAGTGAAGTAACAATGTTTTTCTCTTGTGATAAATCAGCAAATAATATTTTTCAATCTAGCTTTTCAGCAAAACGAACAGAACAGCTACAGAAATATACATTCCTAAGTTCAAAAAAAGAAATATCCGCTCCTTGGGACCTGACACAGCCATACAGGAATAGTAACAGCACGCACGATCGGCACCCTGCCATGATTAAAGGTACCAGCGTGCCTGCCTGCCTGATGCATTATTAACCGAATTGCCCGATCTCTAATGCACAATTTGTGTATACTTCTTCTATAGTAAGCACAATTTGTCCATTTTGACTATTCTCGCACCAAACCCAGGTCAAACCCAGGCGATTAGTTTCCAATCCCATTCGTAGCTCTCTGTCCTTCTCCTTGCCCCTTCTCCTCCGGGCTGCGCCGGTCGGCACGAGCGCGCGTCAGTCAGAGGTGTTCGACGAGTCGCTGCGCCCCGACCGGCCACCACGGCGCGTGCCGGGAGCCGCGCTGCGGCGGCGGCGGCGGCCATGGGCGCCACGGCCTTCGACTTCGAGTACAAGAGGTTCGTCAAGTACCATACCGTACTCTTGTGTCTTCTCCAACTGAAATCCATGCAGGAGGCAGGGCAGAAGCGCGCCCCGGGCGTGCGCGACATCGTCGTGCCGCGCGCCACGTGCTCCGCGCTCTAGCGTCGACGCAAAATGACTGTTTTTTTTTCTTTCTTCTTTCTGTCTCCTCCTCGCCGTCCCCAATCTGCGCTGCCGCTTCTTCTTCTTCTTCTCCAATTCAATTCGTCTTCGTCGCCTCGCGCCTGGGCGGGCATCCCTCGGGCGCCGCGGCAGCAGCAGGGGGTGCGGTGCAGTTAACGCCAGCGCGCGTGGCTCCACCCGGTCTTGCCGCGATCCGTTGCAATCCTGATTCCCTTCCTCTCCAGAATTCCTCCTCCCATGTGCGTGGATCTCGGGGCCCGCGCGGGCTAGGGTTTATGGCTTTGGTCAATCCATGGCGTTTGGTGCCGAGGTCGCCCTGTTGCTTCTTCTTTAATGCGCGCTGATTCCCATGGACGCCGAGTCCCCACGGTAAATCCCACAAAAAGGCGGGTCTCCTTTGCCCATTTCGCCTGCCTCCTCTTCTCTCCTATCGTCTCTTGTTCCGCTCCTTGTTTTCGTATTGCCTGGGGGTGCTAATGCCGTTGTTGGGGTTCCCTCCGGGAGCTGTAGTTGATGGTCCTGAGGTTTGGCGCAGGGACGCTTATGGATTCGCGGTGCGGCCACAGCATGTGCAGCGTTTCCGCGAGTACGCCAAGATTTACAAGGTAGTAATTTACTTTGCCGTACTGGAAATGTTATGTTCATTGTCTGTTTATTGGAAAGTTTTGATTTGCTTTTGGAGGGTTGTTTGTTAGGAAGAGGAGGAGGAGAGGGCGCACAGATGGAGGGACTTCTTGGACAGGTTGGCTGAGTCAGCCAATGTGCCCGGCACACCCAGCGTTTCACCATATGCAGCTGCCAGGGATGGTGCCGCAGGAGCAGGACAGGCACAAGAGAATAACAACATCGGAATACATTGTGATGATGATGAACAAGAGGAGGGAGCTGAGAATGCAGAAGATAACAATAAATTGGAAAACCCGAAGGAAGCTGATACCAGTGGCGAATCACGAGAAGCAAATGGTAAGTCAGAAGATCTGAAAGATGTAACTGACAACTTGGATGAAGTGAAAGAGGAGACTAGTAGTAGCTCTACGGAAGCAATCAAAGCCTTAGAGGGCTTGATGGAAGCAAATGGGGACGTTGAAGAATTAAAAGATTTGAATGGAAGCTCAGAAGAATTGGAAGAAGATAGTAATGGCAACTTGGACAAGCTGGTAGAGCTCTTCTTGGATAAGGGGTTGTTGGATGAACTGAAGCCCATAAAAGTTGAGTCCCGGTGGCGGGTACGGGCAGCGCTTAGCATCATTGACAAAATGATGAGCTCTCGGGTAGTGAAGGGTGGTAATGGTGCAAATGATACTCATGGAAAGGATGGAGCACAGCTTGCTTCTATTGAAGAGGAAGGAAGGACTGCAGAAGTGAGTCATGACGGAGATCCAGCTGAGGTTGATGAGTCTTGTGTTGCAGAGAAGGTTGAACTTGGACAGGAAACACCTGATGATTCTACAGGTACTGCTTTGGAGGGAGGCAATGATGGGTCTTATTTTCCTTGGAGGAGGAGCTTGAGAGCTTGGTTCGTGGAGGCGTGCCAATGGCTCTTAGAGGAGAGGTGCAACTGCAACCACTTCTGCAAATCGCTGCTGTCTGCTTAGTGTGTGAGATTTGATGCCTTTATGCTCACATATTGTTGACTTCCCTGCAGATATGGCAAGCATTTGTTGGTGTCGGTGCTCGGAGGATTACTGGGTACTACAACAAATTGCTTGATGACAGGACTGCGACATTGGATGAAAAGGACCTCGTGGACCCAGTGGTCAACGAACAGAGAAGTGCACCGAGAAAAGTTACACAGCCTGAGAAGTGGAAAGGACAGATAGAGAAGGTTGTTTTCTGCAACAGTTTGAATTTAGAGGAAGCATACCATGGTTGACAAGCTCTAGTGTTTCTATACACTTGATTTCTGTTTTCGTTACAGGATTTACCACGAACATTTCCAGGACACCCTGCATTAGATGAGGATGGGAGGAATGCTTTGAGGCGGTTATTAACCGCATATGCAAGGCATAATCCATCAGTTGGGTACTGCCAGGTAAATTGATGCCAATTGAAGGAATTTTGTTTTTTTTTATCTAGCCTCTTGTTAGCTTAATTGTATAGAACGAGATAGATTGTAATCCTAATTGGTACATGCAAACTATGAAAGGTCATGGTTCTCATGTTCAGTTGAGCATTTGAGCAAAATTGTAATGTATGGCCTTAAATGTTGAGAGATCCATTATAAGCTATGAGCCTATGATAAGCGATACATTTTCAATCATTAGTTCTGGACTTCTGTTGAGCAAAATGTTTCTTACACCATATACCTATGGTAACTTCAGAAGGGATTTGACATAATGTAAAATCAGTGAAGTATATCTCAACATAAAGAATTTCATTGTAGCCATCTTTACCAGGTCAGAAAAACCACCACATGTACTATGAAGTTTATAGCTATATTTATCTTGCCTTCAACATGCCTCACACTTGAAGAGTTTAAACCGATTTCTGAAATAACCACTATCACCAAAGTTTATAGGTATATTTATCTTCACTTGTTTTCTCTTGCAGGCCATGAACTTCTTTGCTGGGCTATTTTTGCTTTTCATGCCTGAAGAAAATGCATTTTGGTATGTCTTCATTAAATGCACCTTGTATATGGAAAGAAAAAAAAAAGACTCAATGGCCTTTTTTTAGTGCAAGACTGTATGGCTTCTCCATTTTCACTTGCTTTTGAATTTCAGGGCTTTAGTTGGGGTTATTGATGATTATTTTGATGGATACTACACTGAAGAAATGATTGAATCTCAGGTACTTTTGAATTTGTGGATCTTGATGCATGCACTCTTTTCCATGGAACATTTGAACTATGTTGCTGCTCAATACACAGGTTGACCAACTCGTCCTTGAGGAGGTTGTACGAGAAAGGTTCCCTAAATTGGGTATGTTTTCCAATTATATCACTATATTCGTCTTTGTCATGTTTAATTCTTTGTTAAAAAATCACACATATGTTTGTGTCACTATTGCTTAATATTTTGAAGGCACTGTATGTCAAAGTATCTACACTTAATGTTTCTTCCATTGAAGGTTCTTGTTATGGTTATTACTTGGCACTTACATCAATTGCAATTTTCTTGATAAACATATGGATTTCTTGGGAGTTCAAGTGGGATGGGTGATCGGACCATGGTTTCTTTCAATTTTCATCAATATGCTTCCATGGGAAAGTGGTCAGGTTTTATACAGTGTCTTGGTTCTTTCATTATGATATGTGCTATTACAATATTTTTTCTTTGGTAGTTCACTGCTGTAAGATTGGTTAACCACTGCCGGTGTTTGAACCACCGGCTAGTAACTTTATCTCTGCTGTCTGGCCCGGATGGTGTGCTCGGAGGACACAAGGATTTATCTTGGTTGGGCGGAATGTCCCTAAATCGCCTGCTGCTTTGCTTTCGTGATACCGAAACACTAGTTTGTAGTAGGGGGGTTACAAGCGGCGAGAAAGGAAAAGGTCCCAAGTCTCTGGTGAAAAGATCGAACGGAGTTGAGTCTTGTTGAGCTCGTTCCGCCATGTGTTCGTGCCTCTCTTACGCGTCCCGCTTCCCCTTTTATAGGTGAAGGGGAAGGCGCAGGTTAAAGAGAGAGAAAAGGAGAAAAGCGAGGGAGAAGAAGGCCTCCAGGGTCGCGGCGTCCTTCATCTCCTTTATGTGGGTCCCGCCGGTCCTGTAGATGATGACGGGGACGGCTCCACGTCGCGACCTGATTAAATCCTTGCGCGCTATCGCAGCGTCGTCAGCCGGTCACGGCGCTCCACTCCGTTCCAGCAGGCGGCGTGGTCAACAAGTACACCTGTCAGAAGCCGTGACGGGATTAAGCGACACAAACAGCCGCAAGCACGCTGACATCGCTGGCGACGTGAGCCCCCAGGTATGGTCCGTCGTGGCCACGGGTCACGTCGAGATGTGCCCGCTTCCCTCCGGTGTGGAAGGTTTGACCACGGGGTCGCATACTCTTCGACCCGTAGTGGTTGGAGGCGGTATGGATCCCGTCGGGCGAGACGGGAACCCGTGCCCGAGGGTGCGCGAGACGGGCCCGTGCCCTCGGGTCGGGCGAGGCGGGGCCCGCGCCCGAGGGGTCTCGCGAGGACGGGCCCGTGCCCGAGGGGTCGTTCGAGACCTTAAATACGTCTTGGACCATCTGGGCGAATTAACGTTAAGTGGCGTTAACTTCCTTCCTCCGGTATCCCTAATATCGATACCGACAAACCCCTTCTGGTGGTTGACTAACATTTAAATCTCACTATCAGCATATGGAAAATCTTCTTATGTCTTTGTAGGTTACATATTCTTTTACCATATGTGTGCTATTGATATCTAAGTAAGACTTTACCTCTCTTGTAGTACTTGGCGTTGGGATGTCATCCTTTTTTGAAGGAAATCGTACAATGTTGTTCAGGACGACGCTTGCTTTGCTGGATTTATATGGTATTAGTTATCCCTTATTAGCCTGTTTATTAACATCCGGAAAATGTTAAATTTTCTTTTATTTGTTCTTTTTTTTTACCAATTTTGATGTGCAACCAACATTGCTGTGTTGTCTTCGTACATTAATTTGCAGGGCCTGCACTGGTGACCACAAAAGATGCCGGAGATGCAATTACACTACTGCAGTCTCTTGCTGGATCTACTTTTGACAGCAGCCAGCTTGTATTGACAGCTTGTATGGGCTTCCAATCAGTTAGAGAAATGGGATTGAAAGAGTTCAGGAAAAAGCACAGGCCTGAAATTTTAACTGCAATGGAGGAAAGATCGAAAGACCGTGGCTCCTGGAAAGATAAGAAGGGGTTAGCAACCAAACTTTATAGCTTTAAACATGATCCTTCATTCATGTGCTCACCAGTTAAGTCCAAGGAAGGGCTAGATGGTTCAAAGGTGAATGGAGAGACTGGGCCAGCAAATCTTGAGACCTATCTTAGTACTAGTTCTATACTGGATAATGATTTGGATCAGGGTGTTGATCTTCAAGATCAGGTAACAACTCCTGTGATAGTATTTATCTTTTGGATATGCTATTTCATTTCTGTGAACAATATGAAAAGTATCATATTTTTTCTGTGTTCAAATGTATTATTTAAACTCCTGGTTAAAAATCTGCTGATTCCTAATGGTTCCATGTCAATATCACAATCATTTATTTTGTAAAACTGAATGGTTCTGTTCATAATGTTCATATTTCTAGCTTAGAGTTATATCTTGACATATCTTTACAACCCAAGTATTTGAAGACTACTTTCTTATGCATATGTGGTGAATTTTACGTGTGCAATGCTGCAATGTTCATACAGGTGTCATGGCTAAAAGATTGAACTATGCAAGCTGCTCGAGGAGAAAAGATCAGCTGATCTCAGGTTTGGGTTATATTTTTTTCTTGAATACACAGGAGTTTCATTAAAGAAGAAAAGAACCAATTACAAACCCCACACCACATCACCCCACTGGACATAATTAGCGTGCCAGTAAAACAAAGTACAACGACCCAACCTAGAGAAAACACCACAAAAACTATACAAAAAGTCAGGACTGGCTCAAAGAGATGCTTTGCACCAGCCGCACACCACATTGTTGTGTTTTCCCTGATGTCTCTCCCCGACAACCCTCACAACTAGGTTTGCATTAGGGGCACTGAGTTCAAGATGCAATCTTGCAATGTTTCCAAATTTCCCAGTGGCAAGAATGATCTAAGTGTTCAAATCTTTCCTGAATTGTTTGTCAACCTGTTTGAGGGATCCACTCCATCATCCTGAGAATCTGCCAACGTCAGGAATTGGAGCCAAGAAAGGAAACCCGCACACTGGAGGGTGACACCACCAGAGGAAATGGGAAGGTGCTGCATATTTTTTTCCTCCTAATCACAAAGAGGGGAGCGAGGTGCGGTGCGGGAGACCTCACTTAGGAAGTCTATCAGCCGTACAACAATGGTTCAGAAGAGCCAGCCACAAGAAAAATTTGCAGCGCAATGGAACCCAAGATTTCCAAATCCTTTTCCAAAGGGCAAAACGAATAGTGCCCACAAAAAAAAAATGGTTTGTTGGCGGATTTCCAGGTCTATGTACCTGAGCTGGTCAACTTCCATGTATGCTGGTCCTGCACATCGGGGTGCAGAACTATTTCTTCCGCTCCAACTTCCATGACCCTGACCGTTAGAGCACCTTTGATGTCTGTCACCCAACGCCTATTTTCTAGTCCCTGAGCAACATTTCTTTGATTGATCGCTCGCTTGGGAACTAGGGCAGTTAAGTGGGAAGCCAACTCAGCAATGTACAGCCATGTAACCTATGATCATACTATAATAGTGTCTGTCCCATTAGTCCATTACTGACCAAGGTTAGAGTGGCCATAGAGAACAGAGCACAGACATTGGAATGAACATGCAGCTGGAGTCAATACCAGGGCCTACTTGGGTCTAGCAACTTATGCTCAATATAAGTATTCAGCATTTCAGCTCTAGATACAGTACAACAACAAAGCCTTTAAGTCCCAAACAAGTTGGGATAGGCTAGAGTTAAAACCAGCGGAGAAGCAATCAAGGTTCAGGCACGTGAATAGCTGTTTTCCAAGCACTCCTATCTAAGGCTAAGTCTTTGGGTATATTCTATCCTTTCAAGTCTCCTTTTATTGCCTCTACCCAAGTCAACTTCGGTCTTCCTCTGCCTCTCTTCACGTTACTATCCTAGCTTAGAATTCCACTACGCATCGGTGCCTCTGGAGGTCTCTGTTGGACATGTCCAAACCATCTCATCCGGTGTTGGACAAGCTTTTCTTCAATTGGTGCTACCCCTATTCTATCACGTATATCATCGTTCCGAACTCGATCCCTTCTCGTATGACCGCAAATCCAACGCAACATACGTATTTCCATGACATTTATCTGCTTGAACATGTCGCCTTTTAAGAGGGCCAACATTACGCACCATACAACATAGCAGGTCTAATCATTAATCCTATAAAACTTGCCTTTTAGCTTCGTGGTATCATTTTGTCACATAGGACACCGGATGCTTGGCGCCACTTCATCCACCCCGCTTTGATTCTATGGCTAACATCTTCATCAATATCCCCGTCTTTCTGTAGCATTGATCCTAAATATCGAAATGTATCCTTCCTAGGCACTACTTGACCTTCCAAACTAATACCTTCCTCCTCCCGAGTAGTAGTGCCGAAGTCACATCTCATATACTCAATTTTAGTTCTATTGAGTCTAAAACCTTTGGACTCCAAAGTCTCCCGCCATAACTCCAGTTTCTGATTCACTCATGTCCGATTTTCATCAACTAGCACTACATCGTCCGCGAAAAGCATACACCAAGGGATGTCCCCTTGTATGTCCCTTGTGGCCTCATCCATCACTAAGGCAAACAAATAAGGGCTCAAAGCTGACCCTTGATGTAGTCCTATCCTAATCGGAAAGTCATCTGTGTCTCCATCACTTGTCTGAACACTAGTCACAACATTGTTGCACATGTCCTTAATGAGCCCGACGTACTTCGTTGGGACTTTATGTTTGTTTAAAGCCCACCACATAACATTCCTTGGTATTTTATCATAAGCCTTCTCCAAGTCAATAAAAACCATATGTAGGTCCTTCTTCTTCTTCCTATACTGCTCCATAACTTGTCTTATTAAGAAAATGGCTTCCATGGTTGACCTTCCGGGCATGAAACCAAATTGGTTCATAGAGACCCGTGTTATTGCTCTCAAGCGACGCTCGATAACTCTCTCCCATAGCTTCATAGTATGGCTCATCAACTTAATTCCCCGGTAATTAGTACAACTTTGAATATCCCCTTTATTCTTGTAGATCGGTACCAATATACTTCTCCTCCACTTGGCAGGCATATTGTTCGATCGAAAAATATGGTTGAACAGCTAGGTTAGCCATACTATAGCTATGTCCCTGAGGCATCTCCACACCTCGATTGGGATACCATCCGGTCCCATCGCCTTACATCCTTTCATCCTTTTCAACGCCTCTCTAACCTCAAATTCTTGGATTCTCCGCACAAAGCGCCTATTGGTGTCATCAAAAGAGTCATCCAACTGAAAGGTTGTGTCCGTATTCTCACCATTGAACAATTTGTCAAAATACTCTTGCCATCGATATCGGATCTCATCATCCTTCACCAAGAGATGCTTCCTTTCATCCTTAATGCACTTAACTTAGTTAAAGTTCCTTGTCTTTCTCTCACGAACCCTAGCCATCCTATAAATATCCTTCTTTCCTTCCTTCGTACTCAAATGTTGGTAAATGTCCTCGTACGCTCTACCCTTTGCCATACTTACAGCTCGCTTTGCAGTCTTCTTTGCCACCTTGTACTTCTCTATGTTGTCCACACTCCTATCATGGTACAAGTGTCTATAGCATTCTTTCTTCTCCTTAATAGCCCTTTGGACTTCCTCGTTCCACCACCAGGTATCTTTAGCCTCGCCTCCACTTCCTTTGGTTACTCCACACATCTCTGAGGCCACCTTTCGAATGCCGGTTGACATCTTCTCCCACATGTTGTTTATGTCATCTTCTTCCTTCCAAGAGCCCTCTTTGATAACCCTTTCCCTGAATATCTCTCGACGTCTCCCCTTTCAGTTTCCACCACTTTGTTCTTTCAATCTTAGCTTGTTTATCCCTCACGGGCACGCATTGAAAACGAAAGTCGCCACCAAAAGCTTATGTTGAGAAACAACACATTTCCCTGGCATCACCTTGCAACCCAAGCATGCTCGTTTGTCCTTTCTTCTTGCGAGGACAAAGTCAATCTGGCTAGAAGCTCTAGATACAGTAACATAAACAATTGTACTTGGTTGAGCAGATTTAACATATCAACAATTACACTTGTCGGACCAAAATGCCCCTACCCTAGGGTTAGATTCCAAGCATATTCCCTGCATACTTGGGGCTTTTTTGGTCCTTTCAGTACATGCTTACACCGAAATCCGATTCGGATTTGACTTAGACAAGTGGCACCTTCCTCCATGTCGTGTGTTTCTCCGGAATGTTGCACCTTCACGAGTGCAGTGGGGTTCAAGGCCCACTCCTCTTTCCCATTGTGTTGCCATTTCGAACTGCCCAAGGGTTTCGTGTTCTCCTTTTGGGACCTGCTGACGGCGCACCCAGGATGCCTCCTTCAGGGCTCCTCTGAAGATGACTTTGCGCTTCCGCCAAGGCATCATTTCAGAAACCTCCTCGGATGAAGTTTGGGAGCAACCTTCGGGGTTTCTGCAAGAACAAATACCTTTGGTCCTGGGGGCTATCATTCTTGGCTCCCCCCCTCCCCAAAGTAGTTTTGTAGCCTAGAGATAGTCTAGCTTTGGTCGCCCCTATGTTTCCACAGGCGCGTATGTAATTTTGACAAGTCGGAGTGGTGTGGTGTGGTGTGTAAGGGGTCTCTTTCCCCCCTTTTTTCTTCTTAATATAATGAAGCGCAGTTCTCCTGCGTTTTCGAGAAAAAAAGGTTAAAAACATGCGAACAGAGGGGGACCCCACACGGGGGATACGGTCCCCCAACACTTCACGTATGGAGGCACCCCCTCTTTTTATAACCTAAAGGGCTGCTGCTGTCACAGAGTCACAGTGCATGCTACTACAGTGCAACTGGCAACAGCTAAGTCTATTACTACTATTGAAATGGAGGCTGTTCCATGAATCTGGACAGTGATTGTCCTCATCATCTAGTTAAAACTATTTGCAAGTTGAATTGCGACTTAATTTGTGCTAATATTTCTTTATATTTTCAAGGGGTGAGGAATTGGAAACTGCTTTGATGGAGATGGTCGAGCATGACAACAGACGTATGTTGAGTGCTAAGGTATTATGCTAACTGGAATCACTTTTTTCTGGTACCTCTCAGCGTATGGTTTCAAGAAAGTTGAATCTCCCAATAGGCCAGTACTATTATATATGATTCTGAGTTCTTTCTTAACTAACTAGTACTTCAAGAATATCTATATACTACTTTAGTCAATGAATTACCCCTTTGCCTGTTTATTTTCTTCATGCACCATTGACCTGGAAAAGATTCACAGGTTGAGAAGCTGGAAGCAGAGGTATATGAACTGCGAAAAGCTTTTTCAGACAAGCAAGAGCAAGAGCAAGTAATGCTTCAGGTGTTGTCTTACTGCATACATTCTGTGGCTATAATCTTTGGGTCTTAAGGATCATATTACCTGGTCCTCCAAAGTCCATTATACATCTGATTGTCTAAAAATATCCACACATTAACTTACCTCTACAGATCTTGTTAAGAATGGAGCAAGAACAGAAAGTGGCAGAAGATGCCCGCATAGCCGCTGAGCGAGATGCTGCTGAACAAAAACATGCTGCTCACTTGCTCCAGGTTAATTCTTGGAAAAACTTCTGCAAGCAGTTTTTTGAAAGTGCTACTTTCTTGGTGACATGCACAGTTTCTTGTGCCTAAGAAGGCAGATGCCTATTTTTTCGTACCTTCTATATGCAGGAGAAGTATGAAGCAGCAATGGCAGCACTTTCACAAATGGAGAAAAGAGCTGTAATGGCAGAAACAATGCTGGAAGCTACAAAGCAATACCAGGCTGGGCAGGTTAAAGCCAACCAATCTTTCACTTCAAGGTATGTTTGTTTTGGCTACATTTAACTTCCACTTTCCAAGCATCTAGATCACTTACGAGCTATTATTGGAAGTCTATAACTTCACACTTGGCATGACTACTTTTCATGTGTCCCGCTAACTATTGCTTGAGTTGGTTTCTTTTCCTCTCAATTTTTTTTTTCATGTGTCCCTCTAACATTTGATTGATATTTTTACTGTTAATTTAAGAAGCTTAAACTCTAACTTCATACTACAATACTTCATTTACTTGGAATCTTCTGTAGTTCACCTCGTGCGGGACCATGTTCTTGGGAAGATAAATCAAGAACCAAACCAAGATGCACCTAACAGGAGAATTGGCCTGCTTTCTAGGGGACTTGGATGGCTTGACAAAAGGCAAGGTATGCCAATAAAATCAAAATTTTACCAAAAATAACTCTCTGAGTTCATGACTTTTGGTACCAGGCCCTACATGTCATTATCAGAGCCCTTGTTTCTTACTAGCTTTATTTTTTACTTCTATGTTGTTTTGTTATTCCTAAAATATTTGATGTGCTTGGACATAATGAGTGATGTGTCCCTGCTCAACCAAGAGTCTCTTTTTATAGAATATTTGAAAAAAGGTAACTCGAAGGAACGCTGATCATCTTTATACCACGTTTGCATGGACAGCATATAAAAAAAATGAATGGTCTCATTGATCTAGAAAGATTTTACAAAGTTGAGGTGCAGTGGGTTCACTATATTTGAATTGCTTTTTTAGCAGGGAAGGCAGAATTCCACTGAAACATCTGGAGGCTAAACTCATCTAGAGACCAGGATGAAGTCATAGCTCCCAACAAGATCTGGATTGTTCATTAATGCTTGGATTGCCTGATCACCATAAGAACGTGTTGAAATCAGCAGCGATGTTTTCTCGTGAAGATTCAGCTGGTATTTTCCATGAAGTTTTGCAGGAAGTGTTTCTTGTATCATATTGAGTTCAGTTGTCAGATAAAGTTTTGTTGGTAGGTCAGAAAGGCTGCTGCAAGTCATCGGTGTAAATTTTCTTTTATTAATTTCTTTAAGATTGTCAATAGTTAGTGTTCCAAGTAGGAGAAAGAGAAGAACACAACTTCCTATACACATGAAAAGAAGACAAACTTGTGTTAGATTAGTTACAGTATCATGGAGTTGTTCTGGAGAAGAGCATGCTTTATCTCTCTTCAGAAATGTCAAAACCACAGAAGAGATGATCTCTCTGTATTTTTGTTCTTTTAATACGTGTGGCTCTGACATTCTTGACACTTGACAGTTGACATGTTTGATGTACGAAAATTATTGTCAAAATGGTCTGATTGTGAATCCAACAGCGGAAACTCCACTATAGCGAGGCATTTTGGAAAGCTAATTATCTTCAGTCCCTCACAAGATTATTGAAAAATGATTTTGGTAAAAGCATGCCGTGTTCCCTCTCAACTTGTGCAGCGTCATGCGGCATGCCCGTAAACACCTTGTTTCTGTCAACACAATACGACTAGTGTCATGCCACTTTGGTGAAGTAGATGAACTGCCCAACATAGACTGAAGTGAAAGATCAGTTGGAGAGTTGGACAATCACACTGGACATGGCAGAGGCAGTGTCAATGGGAACTAGGTACAGTGCCACGTTCCTCCACCTGTTTCAGGAATGCGGGAACAATCCCAGTCTGTGCAGTGAAAAAAAACTGTCTCAAAGAGCATTCCTCGATCCCTGTTCCACGACCCAATCATCCTAGAACTTTGTGACTAAGTTAATTAAACACTCGACACCTGAGATCAGGGATAACTTCCTTGGACACAATGTAAATCAAACCCTTTTAGGAGCAGCATCAACAGCAAAAGTAAGGAAACAAGCCATCGTCATCAATACAACATGCAAACAGAGCGTCTGATAAGACTAAGCCACAACAA